AATATGTCACTTTTCTATTTTTTGTTTTGGAAAAATATTTTCACAAAATATGTCAGCATAAAAATTTATGCTTATATGTTTTATTATGTCATTTTTAAATAGATTAAATGTTCTTAAAATTTTGTCATTTTTTTCTTTTTTTAAAATTTTATTGATTATGCCATTACAGTTGTTCTATTTCCCCCTTCATTCTCCTCCACCATGCACACCCCTCCTCCACCATTCTCCCCCCTTTAATTTATGACCATGTGTCTCAAGTTCTTTAGATTCTATATTTCCCCTACTATTCTTACCCCCCCCCATCTATTTTCTATCTACGGTCTATGCTACTTATTTTCTGTACCTTCTCCCCCTTTCTCTGTGGGGGCGACTTCTCTCTCGAATCCCCCTGGTGCCATGGACGAGAATGAATATGACAGAGATATGATGTGATCTGCCTGGGGAGGAGGGATGGCCGATTTCTCTGGGGAGACAAAGGCCTGCAGCAGCCAGTTTCTCTGAAAGAAAAAAAGGCCTTGAGCACCCTCCTCCATAGCCTTTTATTGGGTTGTAATACACAGGAATACTGGGCAACAAGGATCAAACAGTAGATAACATTACAAAGAAATCTTGAGGGCTTACTATGAGTCAGTGTCTGTCAGGAAGAGAGTTGCAGAAACTTTGGGAGACATACTCATTTCCTCTCAGACCCTTAAATGAATGAAAGCACTCTTAGCAGAGCAGATTTCACAGGTTTATCAGCAAGTCTTTGTGGTGCTAGATTTTTTTTCCCCAGGGCACGCTCTAGCAAGGCAAAGGAGCTGCACCTCTCCCCAGCAGGTATTCAGGCTTAAGGGGATTAGAGCCAGGAAGTGCTTCTCCCAGAGAACTTGGGGACTCCGGTTTTGTCAAAGCCAGGGGCGCGAGAGTCCATTGCTCTTTGTTGCAGCCCCCCACCCGAGTCCTTCCATGAAGGCCTCCCAAGTGATCGAGTCTGGCTTAGGTTGCCCCCCGCTGTGAGGGGTCTTACCCGTCATTGACTTCTGACCAAGCTCTGGGGGCAGGGAGAGGAACTGAGGTAGTGTTTGCTACCAGAGACAAGCTTTGTCTCCTGTGGCTCACATTCTAGAGGCAGTTGCTCACTCATCCTCAAGCCACAAGGGGCAAAGAGCTACAATTCCTGAAACCAGGCAGAGTGGTCTACAACACTTCTCCTTCTCCCACTCCCCTGTTGTTAACCCTCCATGTGATCTTCATTTCTATGGTTCACTCCTGATCTAGCTGTCCTCTTAGTTTGCTTTTGTTTTAGGTGTGGTTGTTAATAACTGTGAGTTTGCTGTCCTTTTACTGTTCATATTTTTTATCTTCTTTTTCTTAGATAAGTCCCTTTAACATTTCATATAATAAGGGCTTGGTGATGATGAACTCCTTGAACTTGATCTTATCTGAGAAGCACTTTATCTGTCCTTCCATTCTAAATGAAAGCTTTGCTGGACAGAGCAATCTTGGTTTGTAGGTCTTTGGTTTTCATGACTTGGAAAACTTCTTTCCAGCTCCTTCTTGCCTTTAAGGTCTTTTTTCAGAAATCTGCTGACAGTCTGATGAGGAGTCCTTTGTAGGTGACTGTCCCCTTATCTCTTGCTGCTTCTAGGATTCTCTCCTTCATTTTAATCTTGGCTAATGTAATGATGATGTGCCTTGGTGTGTTCCTTCTTGGGTCCAACTTCTTTGGGACTCTCTGAGCTTCCTGGATTTCCTGGAAGTCTATTTCCTTTGCCAGAATGGGGAAGTTCTCCTTTATTATTTGTTCAAATAAGTTTTCCACTCATGGCTGTTCCTCTTCCCCTTCTGGTACCCCTATAATTTGGATATTGGAACATTTAAAGATGTCCTGGAGGTTCCTTAGCCTCTCCTCATTTTTTTGAATTCTTGTTTCTTCATTCTTTTCTGTTTGGTCATTTTTTTCTTCCTTCTGGTCCACTCCCATGATTTGAGTCCCAGTTTTCTTTCCATCACTATTGGTTTCCTGTGCATTTCCCTTCATTTCAATTAGTTTAGCCTCCATATGTTCCTCTAGTTTGTAACTAAAATCAACCAGCTCTGTGAGCATCCTGATCACCAGTGTTTTGAACTGTGCCTCTGATAGGTTGGCAATTTCTTGTTCACTTAGATTTATGGGCTCTGGGGCTCTGAGTTCTTCTTGCACCATGTTTTGATCTGTTCGCACCTGTTATGTATGCGGAGAGGAGCTTTAGTTGTTCACCAGGGTGGGGCTACCCAGGTTGCTGGTTTGTGATGCTATATGTGGGGGCGGGGTCAGAGAAGGAGCAATGGCGGTCCTCTCTGCTCCTTCCAGCCACTGGGGCCTGCGCAGTCTGTCTCGATGCTCGCTCCTTCGCTGGTTTATCTGCGCACAAATGTATGACTGCAGTCAGCCAGCCGCCTTGCCCCCACCCTGTCTCCCATATTCTAAGCTTATCAAGAACCTCTTTCACCTCAATAAATTCTATTTAAAAAATAAAACTACATAGTTTGGGAAAAAAGAAGAACCACTTTTAAGGCCTAAATGTACCATGCATTAGTGTGCATCCAGGGACATTGCTCATGCTTTTCCCTCTGCCTGGAGTATCTTTCTTTTTCTGCTCAGAAGATACTTTCTTATCTTTCTCAGTCACCTCCTCTTCGAGTCCTTTGCTAAGCATCCTGTTTTGGGGATCTCCACTGCATCTCGTATAAAGTTTTATTGTGATGTGCCATCAAATTATTCAAGAATAGGTTTAGCTCCAGGACCTGCTGGATTGCTTATAAATTAATAGACTTTTGGTAAATGTTTATGGAATTATTTAATAAATCTAGTTGTATAGAACTTGGTTATAAATTATTGCAAATTTTTAGTATTCAAAGCTGCATAGTACAGTATTACAGCTCATTATTCGTATTCTTATACGAGTCACAGACGATGCATTCTTTGTCTTTCTCAAGGCAGACAAAGATATATCCAGGTGTCGCTGAGTAAAACAAGGTTACGAGAAAGTGTTAAGTGTTCCACCCCCTCTTGCTCAGTTGTCACTGACCTGCATCTGTCTTTGTTTCTGCTTTTCCTTATTTTCCGGAGCTTGGTGGTGGCTGAATAGAGGAAGTTCTCCAAAATACACATATACTGTACAGGAGAAATTGATACCAGCTTTATGAAATGTGTTTAGTGGAAATGGACCACAGAAGCCCCTTGTTTTTTAGCTCTCACCAGTCCTGGAAGCCCTTTTTACAAGGGTTTTTGCAAGTCCTCATGTAGCCTCTTTCTGAGTATCTCTAGAGAGTGATAGCTTGCTTTGCCCTCAACTGCATGTGTCTTTGCTTTGCCTGCCTAATTATTTGAAAGCCCATTCTTTCCTGAGCAACAAGTTATCTTGTCTTCTGGAATAATACTGCAGAAAGGGTGCCTGCTTTCCACAGTCACTTTTTAAATATTTCAAGATGCATTTAATACTTTTTAAAAAATAACAATGATTAGTAGGAATTTGGAGAGAAGCTATAAAAAGGACAATAAAATTAGAGGATTTTTATTTACTTATTTTTTTCAATTATAGTTTACATTAAATATTTTATACTAGTTCCAGGTGTAGCACTTTCTTTTATGGGATTTCTCTAAGTGGATTGGGTTTTTTGAAACAGTTCTTTGTGTGGCATGGTCCATCCAGTTCATTCACATTTTGAATGTACTCGTGTGTGTGTGTGTGTGTGTGTGTGTATGCCTGAAATGATACATAATATCCTTGTGTGATTGAATACACATTTCTTAGGAATTGTGCCTTCTGTGATTTAAGAGTAATTACTATCTTTGATTAGGAGTATTGGCTCTGGTATTAGACAGATTGATGTTTTGGATTCTGAACAGTCTTTATTTCCATTTACCAACCATAGGTAATAGGCATAGAGTTGTTGTAAAAATCAAATGAAATCATGTAGATTTAAATACAAAGCATTTTTCTGGCCCGTAACAGAGGCCCAATATGTGGAGTAGTTGTTCCTTTGATAATTATATGTTTATCAGTATATTCTAAAAGTGTCATAGATGTTTCCCACACTGTAGTTAAATAACTTTATAATCCAGTCATACCATTATCTTGCTATCTACCTACCTTCACCACTGTGCGGGCTTTCATTCCCTTCCCCATGATCCATCTCTGCATGGAGCGCGAGCCCCGTCCTTTCAGGTCTGCACTCACTCAGTGTGTCTTTCTTTAGAAGTTCCCCACCTCCCCCATCCTTGAATTCAGAAATATTTTGTTCTTCTCTCCGATGGCATTTATTCCAGTGGCATTTGTTTGATTTTTTTTTACAAGATGAAAAACTGAAAGTAGAAATAAATTGCTTGAGAAGCTTGTAGAAATCGCTGAGGAGTATATTGAGATGTAATATCTTGGTATAACTTAAGAAAAGGGAAAAACACCCTCCTGGTGTGGTCCAGTGGATTGAGTGTTAAGGAATAAACATAGCCAGGACGTGTCCATAATGCAACACCAAAAATATAAAGGTTTTGTGATGGGGTTTTTTCTACTTTTGTTACCTAAAATTACACCAGCATTTGTAATTACTGCCCCGCGACATTTTGATAAACCAGAGAATAACTAAATCCTAAGTAATAAATTTCAAAATCTTTGCTTAAATTTTAAGTGATCTACTTTCTAAGTGCATTTCGTACTATGAAATTCAGTATTCCATATAATCTGTTTTTGTGTGTTTGAGGATTAGTTCAGGCTTTGTAAATTCTATTAGACTGTAAAGTGACTTTTCGAAGTACGCCGAAGAACCCTGGGGTCTGTGGTATTCTTTTGTTCTGTTTTATGTGCATACGTATTGTCCTTCAAAGGTAGTTCAGTCCTCAAAACACTTCTTCAGCTGCTCTCACCCAGTTCTTGAAAAGGAGCATTATATTCCAAGTATAGGAAATTCTTTTCAGTGTTTTGCAACTTCCTTACTGTCTCTTTAAAAACTGAGTTTGTAACTGTTTTACTTTGCAGAAAGGGCTATTGCAAGACATGAAGTCCGAGAAATTGAGCAACGTCATACAATGGATGGCCCTCGGCAAGACACCCCTTTAGATGAGGAAGAGGACATGGTCATCATTTATAACCGAGTCCCCAAAACTGCAAGCACCTCTTTTACCAATATTGCCTATGACCTGTGTGCAAAGAATAAGTACCATGTTCTTCACATCAACACTACCAAAAATAATCCAGTGATGTCGCTGCAAGATCAGGTAAACACCACTCAAGGAGTACATGTTTTCTGACACTCACTCAAATGTTATATGTCAAGGGGATACAGTGTTTTAAGCGATATGTATGCTGACCCCAATGAATTGTAAGTCTGTTGGGGGAAGGAATCAACCACATTTTTTATAACTTTAAATTCTTCACAGTATTTGGTACATTTCTTTTCATATAGTATGTATTAAAATATTTGTGAAATAAATGAATTAAAAGTTTGAATATTGAAGAGAAAATTGATGCTCTTCAGTATGGCATTCTTTTAAAAATATATAGTATTATTAGCAACAGACTGCAATAAAAAACATTACATTGTCTTAAGAGAGAATTTTTTATTCGATGATTATCTGTATTCTGTATGGCTCAGTTTTGTGAATTTCTTCTTATCTTTACTAGTAATTTATGTAAATATTAGATATAAACTTCTGGAAAACAGGGAATGTGGGTTATATTTTAACATAATCTTGCCTTTTAAGTTGTCAAGAAACTTTAGATAAATGGATAGATAATTTTATGGAAGCGTTTTAAGAAAAGTGGAGGAAATTATCTCATGAAATGAAATTCCCTCATCTCTTTATCCATAGTTGCACACACCTTTTCCACACCAGGAGTTCTAACTGTAATTTTAAGTATGTGACGTTCTTTCTACAGGTATTGAAGAGAAAGGTTATTATGCCCCATGAGAATAAAAGATGACATTTGAAATACTACCTAGGATTTAAAAAAATATTTTATTGTGTATGCTACTACAGTTGTCCTGCTTTTCCACCTTCACCTTCCTCCACCCAGCCTCCCCCACCGCCACTTCCATAGTGAGCCCCCTCACCATTGCCCACGTCCACGGGTCCTTCGTGTGTGCTTTACTGGTCCATTCGCCTTCCTTCAGTCAGTCCCCGCTTCGCCCCTCCCCTCTTACAGCTGTCAGCCTGTACGATTCTATGCCTCTGGTTCTCTTTTGCTCATTAGTTTATTTTGTTCAAAATGATACCTAGAATTAAATACCTTATTGGGGTAGTCTTATTAGAAAGGTATTTGTGATACTCATTATAGTGAGAATGTATTTATTTGAAAACACTCGAACTTGTATTATTATTGCAGAATTGACTCTGTTATCCCATTATTTAGCTATATATAATTCTTACTCTAAAGCAAGAGGATAACATTGATACTACACAAGGTTAAAGTTCACTTCTTGCTAGAGAGCCATTTGTAAAGGCCAGTGGATATGGAATATCATCCGCCCATGTAATTCTTAGCTCTCTGCAGTACCCTCAATTACTCTTTCATAGAACCCAAAATCTACATCTGCCAGCCAAACTTAATAACTTGTCAGTAAATGAGAAGGAGTATGAGCTAATTTAGCTAAGTGGGTCATAAAAATTATTCATTATATAATATTATATATCTAAAGGCAAGTGTCCTAAATAATCAGTTTTTGGATGGCATGTGGTACATTTCAAATCTATTAGCATGATTGCTTTCCAGAATGTATCTTTGTTTAAAAGGGACATTTATTAACGTTCATATAATGTTATATTTCTTTAGTAACTTTTTTTTAGAAAGGTATAGTTAGTTTTCTTGTTCAATTTTTAGAGTTGTTTTGTGTCCACCATTACAGAGTTTTATGGCAGCTATAAGATGCCTGCCAACGATATTGATGATTTTTTTTCAGGAAATACAAATCTACAGAAGTTTACCACATATAACACATTTATAGGCATCATGTAGTGGTACATTTCCCCAGTTGCATTTAAATGAGATGAAGCTTCTGTTTTTCTTTCAATAGCTTTTTAGTTACATGTAGAAAAAAATACCCAGCCAAAGAGAATCATAAATGCCACCTTAAAAGCAATTGGATTACATAATGAACAACATTTAAAATATATTTGTGTGGGGAGAGGAGAATCCTCTTAATCATTAGCTGACATATTTCAAAATGTCAGGTGGTTACTGAGAACCTGCTCTTAATTAGGAATGACTTATATACCAAATATTCTCTAATATACCATATCTAAATTACTTACTGGTCTTATTCTGTATAGAAGCATTTGTTCAAATAAGTCACAGAGGAAAGGTATCTGCCTCCCTGTCCTTTGTATGGCATATTAGATAGCATTTTAATTTCACATTTAATCTAGTAAACTTCATATAAATGTAAACTTGTAAATTATACCAGATGTCTTGAAAATATTTTTAAATATTTCTTATTTTGCATCACATACTTTAATTTTTATTCTATGTTTTTGTTCTTGTGTACTGTTCTCAACCGCTTTATGATTCAGACAGTAATTAAGGGACCGATTTTGCTCTTCTGTTTCTCTGAGAAATAGTTTTTAATCAATAGCTGACTGAAGTGAGACTTGAAAAATTAGATTGTTAAATCTGCCATTGTCTCAATCTTTTCATTTCAAACCCAGTCTACTCATAAAAGTATTTGGGGATATCGTAGATGACCACTCTCCTTATTCTCGCACCTTCCAGCCTCAGCAGTTCGGTCTGCTGAATCCCTGCTCTTAGCCCTGGCCCTTTCCCAGGTATATTCTGTACGTACTGTGCACAGTGCTAAGCTGTTTACATGTGTCATTATTTCTCTCAAAAATTTTAGAGGCAAAGCCCAATTTTTAGTCTAGTATAAAACTATTCAATGGTTAAACATATTCTGCTCTTTTAGAAATGGGTGTCAACTCCACTTTTACATTCTCACTTATTGAGTATGTAATATATACAGAGATCGCATGAAGGCTTTGGGGAAACTCCAAAGAGATAAAAGCGAGGCCACATCTTTCAGGGAGCTTGTTTATAATGTACTCAGGGACATAAAACAGTCCCAGGAACTAGGAGGACTGTCGTAGGAAACATCAGTCTATGGTATTCTCACCAAAAGTACTTCCAACCCAAATGTTTAACCTGGATCTCTTGAGGAAATAGGCAAATCTGTGTTAGAGAACATTTTCTAGAACAACTATTCTGAACTCTTCCAAAGTGTCAATGTCATGACAACCCAGAAACGTCAGGGTCAGGGGTGAGATGGGCTTCTCTAGACTAGGTGAGACCAAAGAGACATGGAAACCAAATGTAATGTGTGATCTGTGATTGGATCCTTGGTCAAAGGTGTCTGCTACTAGCTTTCAAGCATTTCTGGAAAAATTGTGTGTCTATGTATCTCCAGATATTTATATATATGTATAGAGAGAGCGAGATACAGAAAGGTGGCAAAAATATTAATAGTTAATGAATCTTGGTGAAAACTGTACAGATGTTGGCTATACAGTTGATCAACTTTTCTGTAGATAAGGCCTTTTTCAAAATTAAGTTGGGATAAAATAAGAAGAACAAGGAGATTAACAGATAAACATTGAGCTCATAAAGCAGGAGAATGCTAAGTAATAAGAATAAGGCAGACTCAGTCATAGGTATGTTTTTGAAGTGGGCGTTAGTTACTGGGTTAATAGACAGGAATCGGCAGGAGACAGGTACTCAGTCAGCTGTTCTGACTGGAAAATGAAGTTTACTCTGCTATCAGGAAAATACCTCAAAATTAGAGAACATCTTGTCTTTAACTATGCCACATAGTAAGTGGTACCATTTTTTATAATATTTCTTAATTCTTTTCTGCCCTTACATATTTTGGGTCTGTGATTGTATGTAACCCCTCTCTGTTCAGACATTGAAAACATGTAGAATCTGCATTCTTTGTAGAACAACATAGTAATTTTTTGTTCTTTGAATTCACTATCAAGCCCACTTCTGGTCATTTGTATTAGATCCTGTGGTTTGATACTAGTTTTACATGCTGCTTTGTCAGCACAGCACTTTAGATGAGTGCTTCTCAACTTATCTTGTGTATACTAACCTCTAGTTAAAATGCACATTTTGATTCAGGACTGAGATGCAGCCTGATAGTCAGAATTTCTATAAAGCGTCTGTTGGGTTGACACCTCCTCAGAAGGTCATTTGAAACTGGCCTCCATACAGGAGGGCAGGGAGGGACAGGAGGCCTTGACCGGGTTTAGTCCCGTACAGCCCACAGTCTCACCACCACGTTTCCGTCTCAAGGCTGTTGTTCTCGGACAGCTTCTGACACAGGGAAGGCAAGTGGAGCACACAGTCCAAGCACAGGGGAGGGAGTGGGAGCCTCCAGTTGTCCCTGTCAAGCCTGTGGGCGGGGCAGACCAGCAGTTGCATCTTTTTGATGTCCTCTGCCAACAGCTGCCACTTGATGTCAAAACTGATGCTTCTAGGCCTTTGAACCATGGTTTGAATAGTGATTCTTGGTGGGATTATGGGGACATGCATATTATTATCTTCTCAGGATGGTGAGGTACTTATGTTTGAATTCATATTTCTACCTCCCCAGCAAAATCCAAGTTCCTTACCTAGACCAACAAGCCATTTTTAGTAAAGCCTTTGTCCTGTACTCTAACCTCTTACTTACTAGCCACACTGGCTTTTTGGTTTATTACTTAAAATCACATTACTTAGTGATTTGTGTATCTGTTTGTTGTCTGTCTTCTCCTCTGTTACAAGCTCTTTAAGGACAGGAACTTGGCTGTCTTATTCAGTCCTGTATCCCCTGTGCTTGAAAACAGTGCCAGAAACATAGTAGACACTACATAACTTATGTTAAATAAATGCACAAATGAACCAACTTGATTCTAAAAGTGGTCCTCAGCTGAGCAGAACACCATGATGATAATTACTGTTGGAGTAAGCCCCTCTGATTGATGGTAATAATCTAATCTACCCTTACTTCAGATTTGGAACACCCCACCCCCACCATCATCACCACCAGCTACCCACACACACACACAAAAAGTTGAATAATACAGTTCCGAACTTTAGTGAAAATACTGTATTCTATTGCTGGTGACCTTTCTTATATTTGTATCCAATAATTACTCAGTTTTCCTCTTTGTGTAGAAAATTCCTTCTCTAGTTTAGGCTCATAAAACTACCCACGCTGTACAATGAATTTTTATTTTAAGTATAT